CAGGCAAGGCTTCTTGTGAAAAGCAAACCCAGAACTGGTGTGTGTTTTTTATAGGGCAGGGCAGCTGCAACCAACACCTCCAATCTCATGTCATTGATTGGACTCCAGTTGGCTGACATCTCACTACAATTAGCTCTTGGAGATGTCATTAGTCTAGGGGTTCACATACTTTTTCCACCTGCACTGTGAAAGTTTACATGGTGTGTTCAATAAAATCATGGCAACATTTCATTCTTTGTGTGTTATTAGTTTAAGCAGACTGTGATTGTCTATTGTTGTGACTTAGATGATGATCAGATCACATTTTATGACCAATTTGTGCAGAAATCCATATGATTCCAAAGGGTTCACATACTTTTCCTTGCAACTGTAAATCTATCTATGCTCACTGTTAGTGCTGTCTGTTTGATGGTCACATGGAGAAACTGTGCAACTGTCTGTCTAGGGGTTAGTATGTTGATGCCAGACACAAAAGTACCACATATGGAACAAATAAGTACAATTTTCACTGAAGTGAAAATCGTGTACTTCCTGGAAATAACAGCACCAAGTCGATGTTGCAAATAAATCTAAGCCATAGAAATGTAGCAAACAAATAACAAAGATAGATCTTTGTGTGATATTGTATTTAAACCAGCCTTACAAGGCTACATCTATGCCCAAGTGGAGCTAAAGAACTAGCGAGATACAAAACAGAGGGCAAAACCAAGAAACACCAATGATAAAAATATAAACATAAAAGCAGACTTTATTATAAATGGCCTATACTTATAGTATCAAGAATATCAAGGTCTGGTAGTGTCTCCTGCAGTTAGAGAGAGAATAAATGTACAGGTCTTGTAATCAAGCTGTGAAAGGAAAAAGTAGATAAGATTTCTGTTGCCTGTATAAAAGGCAAAAGTCTATAAGAAGCAGCCTCTCTGCTTCAAAACTAGCTAACACGTGAGATAAATAAAAAATGAAGTTTCCAAAATCAAAACCCAAACCCAGCAGCCCGACGCACGTTTCGGTGCAGAACAACATGCATCTTCACCAGTGGAAAAAAGATCAACTGATAAGGAGTCCTCTTATATGGGTATATCCCATGTGGGTTCAATAAGTATAAGTCAATAGTGCATTTGCACGTCATCCGGGAGGCATGGCTATGGAGGATGCAGTATCATCCTACAGAGACGCCCACAAATCAATGTAGTCCATTGGTAGAGGGACAGGGGGAGTGTCTGAACCTGCGATATGTCTCTATATAAACTGAAAAGGAAAATCTATAGCAGGAAGGTGATCATAATCCCATGTTTCTATATCGTAGGTACTATGTATGTACACCCTGTTCCAAATTATTATGCAAATTATATTTTTCTAATTTACCTAAATAATTGATGTAAATAACAGTCAGCATAATTCTCATGTTATCAACTATTAAGAGTACAATTCAAATTTTATTGAACAAACCTCCTAATGAGAACAGTATTTTTTTTTAAACATAAAAAACTTACAATGCACTGTTCCAAATTATTCCGCACAGTAAGTTTCAAAACACTTTACAGGTTGTAAAAACTGAAAATTGTCATTTGTTGTGTTTGCAGCATATTTACTGAAATCAAAAGCTATTTCAATCAAACTTATAACAACATTTTAACTTTTTAAAAATTTTAACAGATCACGTTACATTTTAATATAGGACCCCTTATTTGATAGGATAGCAGCTTCTTGCATCCATTGAACTCGTGAGTTTTTGGACAGTTTCTGCTTGAATTTGTTTGCAAGATGTCAGAATTGCCTCCCAGAGCTGCTGTTTGGATGTAACCTGTCTCCCACCCTCATAGATCTTTTGCTTGAGGATGCTCCAAAGTTTCTCAATAGGATTGAAGTCAGGGGGGATGGAGGCCACACCATGACTTTCTCTACTTTTATCCCCATAGCAGCCATTGATGCAGAGGTATTCTTTGCAGCATGAGATGGTGCATTGTCATGCATGCAGAAGTTCTTCCTTCTGTACCAGGGAAGAAAATGGTCAGTAAGAAACTCCACATACTTTGCAGAGGTCATCTTTACACCTTCGGGGACCCTAAAGGGGCCAACCAGCTCTCTTCCCATGATTCCGGCCCAAAATATGACTCCACCACCACCTTGCTGACGTCGCAGCCTTGTTGGAACAGGGTGGCCGTCCACCAACCATCCACTACTCCATCCATCTGGACCATCCAGGGTTGCACGGCACTCATCAGTGAACAGGAATGTTTGAAAATTAGTCTTCATGTATTTTTCTGCCCAATGCAGCCATTTCTGCTTGTGAGCATTGGTTAATAGTGGCCGAATAGAAGGTTTATGCACAGTTGCAAGACTCTGGAGGACTCTACACCTTGATGTCCGTGGGACTCCAGAGGCACCAGCAGCTTCAAATATCTGTTTGCTGCTATCTAATGACATTTTAGCAGCTGCTCTCTTGATCCGATGCATGGATCTGGCAGAAATCTTCCTCAATGTGCCTTTATCTGCACGAACCCGTCTGTGCTCTGAATCAGCCACAAATCTCTTACTGGTGTGATGATCACGCTTAAATTTTCATGAAATATCTAATGTTTTCATACCTCATCCAAGGCATTGAACTATTTCACTCTTTTCGGCAGCAGAGAGACCCTTTTTCTTCCCCATATTGCATGAAAATGGTGCTCTGCTTAATAATGTGGAGTAGTAGTAGGTTTTCCTTAAATTGGGCTCACCTGGCAATCTAATTATCACAGGTGTCCGAAATTGTTTTCAGTGATCAAAAGAGCCCTGAGACACAATACCATCCATGCGTTAAACTGAAAAACAAAATATTTAATCTTTGTGACACTTAAATAGAATTTGCATTATAATTTGGAACAGGGTGTATTCTGTTCACATCACATAAAACAACTGAAGGTACGTAAGCCTTACAGTTATTCTGCTATCCTTAAGTATTACTTCACATAGCTATTTGATTTGATAGCAATAGATTCATAGGTGTATTCAATTGGTCCACTCAACAGCCGATGTATCCCTATGATCCATATAAACCATCGTGTAATCCATATCACTACCAGAATACCCCGATCCTAAACACATCAGGCGCATCAATACACATTGTCTGCTATCGAAAAATACATAAAGGATGTGATCACGATTACTGGACACACAATGTTAATTCTCACTTAGCCCAGGAGATTATATCTTGCCTTATGGGTCTAAAGAAGCATCTTGCCAATATACCCTAATCATTCTCAAAAATTGAAGGTATCGTGAACACTTTAGTTCGTGTCGATATACTACCTTTCCTGTCCCTTATAAAGGAACATGAATAGGTTGACTGTACGATAGATGAAAAAGGGATATCAAACACTAGTGTGTCCCAAGAGATTGCTCGTAGACTCATTGAGGTTCAAGTGTGTTGGACCGTGATGACGTGACAACGCTGAGGGGGTGGAGCATCGGAGAGACCCTGCATGTAAAACGGCCTCAGGTGGAGATGTAGTGCTAACCGACCTGTAATCTTGCTTTTTCCTCTGCGTGGATAACTGCTCCAGGGTGGCAGTGATGAGCTAGCAGGACCTCAACCTTGAGGCTTTTTTGTCCGAAAAGCAGCAGTGAGGACTCCAGCCAAAATTGGCAATTGCATACGCTTTCCTAAAAGAAGCCGGGATTCCCCTCTATTTATCATCACAGGTTAAGGTCATATAGAGCTTATCTCTTTCCTTTGGGGCAGGAGATAACGTTTTGTTTTATATAATTATAAGTTTTCTTTTTGTTTCCTTGCCTGCTTAAACAAACAACCGAGCTGTAAAGGCACTATTTAGCATTTATAAATCTAATTTATTCAATTATACCAGGCTTATCAATATCAATACAATAGGTTTTGGTGATACTCTCCTGATAACTTTTGGGTTAAAGGACCACTATAGTGCCAGGAAAACATACTCGTTTTCCTGGCACTATAGTGCCCTGAGGGTGCCCCCACCCTCAGGGACCCCCTCCCGCCCGGCTCTGGAAAGGGGAAAGGGGTTAAAACTTACCTTTTTCCAGCGCTGGGCGGGGAGCTCTCTGCCTCCTCTCCTCCTCCGATCCTCCTCCTGGGCTGAATGCGCACGCGCATTGAAAATCTCTGAAACTGCTATGTTTATAAAAAAATGGGTTAACCCTAGAAGGACCTGGCACCCAGACCACTTCATTAAGCTGAAGTGGTCTGGGTGCCTAGAGTGGTCCTTTAAAAAAAAGGCAGTTACATCTTGTTGAAATTATAAGTATACCAGTTCTAAAATATACTACTCACTACAAAAAGCTTTATTTAAAATAATGGCCACTAAGAGGAGCCAAGAGGCAAGGGAAGCAAGAGATATCAAAGATGCAAAAACTAGGGGGTGGGGCCGGGCTGAGCGACAGCCATCCCTGCCAGCTCCGGCTCCGAATCGCTTAAATAAACTGAAATATAGCACTAAAAGCTAACCTGAAGCCGGGGCAGACATAAGCACCAAGCGGGGAGAGGCACAGGAGCACAATCTGCCAAACCGACACCGAGCAGCCTGCCCTGCCGGAGCACGATGAACCCATGAGGCCTACACGCAGAAGCCGCGAGCCCAGAAGAGAGAGAGGGGGGGACCGGACCCGGCCCCGCTCCCCCCCTCAGGCCGGCAGGTGTGATCCCAGCCCATGAGTCAATTCTCTGGAGACTGGAGGCAGAAAACCCACACATGGCGGAGCCCTTTCTCGCGTGGAGTCAAGATGGCCGCGGAACACGCTCGCTACTGGGAGCCACGCAGGGACGCCTGGACCCTTAGGGGTGGCGGATCCCACAGACGGACTCCACCGGGCTGCAGACCGGTCGACGCAGAGCCGGCCCTAACCCCTGGATTTGGTGGTGGTCCGGGGAGGCCTGGCCCCGACTCTGTGAGCCCTATGGCGTCGGGGTAAGTTGGACCCCCGGCGGACTGGTGGCCGGGGAGACAAGCGCCGGTGACATGCAAGAGGCCGGAGAGGGGTGAGGCCTAACGGAGCTGGAGCTCAACGGGGAACTGCAGGAGTTGTGGAGGTGCAGGGGACGAGGGGCCCGAGGACTTTTCAGGGGGGGGGGGAGAGTCTGCCGGGCTGCTGACGTCCCTGAGTGCCCACAGCATTGTGGAACCCTCGAATGACCGGCCGGAGCAGGCCTGGAGGGGAACAGAGGGGATTAGTCACACCAGGGAAGCTGGGGGGACCCTGCAATGAGCGACCAGCTTGTCAATTATATGCACTCCAGACATAAGCCTGCGAGAGGACACAGCAGAGGAAAGCCCACACAGATACCTCACAAGAGGCCACTGACCTCACGCTGGACATTCTTTACCACTGGGCACCACAACGCCACCTCCAGTGGAGAGACTCCCCTAATATGGTTGCATAGACCCAGCTTAGGATACACCTTGTTTATATGGTTTCTTGCTTTGCATTGCCCCCTGAGGCGTTTGTTCACTGATGTTGCATAATGTTTATTACACTATAAACTGTATAAAGCTTGCCCATAGCGAAGACCTGCTTCGATTAAATACCTGAGCTACATGGGCGTAAAATAGTTAGGTTTTATCACCTGCATTGCTGTTACTCATATGAAACTTACTGTGGCTTCTATGGGATACGCCATTCGCGGGCTAATTCGCGCACGGCACCCTATACAGGCCATTACATGCTTGCTAAAATACACAACTAAAGCTTTATGTATTGTTGCCAGATATTATTGACGCATAGCCGTCTGCTGATTTTTTGATTTAATGTACTGCTCTGACCATTTGATACAGCGCATACGATGCACACTTTGAACACATCATGTTCACTAAGCACAACTTTAGCGAATGAAAAAATAGATGCATAGGCGCAATTATCCAGACGCACGGAACCACGCTTTAGTTTTTCCTGACATTTTGCCTGTCAGCCAGCAACACACATATCTGCACGCAGGCCCGGACTGGCTATCGGGCACAGAGGGAGAGTACCCGGCGGAGCTCTAACGTGCAGCTCCGCCGGGCTTCTCTCGCATCATAGCACCGAAACGCGCGTCGGGTTGAAGGAGGTTTTTCTCCTTCACTTTCACTCACTTTTTATTTTCACTTCTAGGGCACTATTTCACGATGTGTAGGTAACCAGCACTCTAAGCATGGTTCTACACATTAGCACTATTATTTCCTAATTTTTCACCTTTTCCTCCTGTCACTCCTGATATGCTATCTAGATTGGAACTATCTATTTGATTGAGGAATCTGGACTGGCTCTGTATGTATTTGAGGGGGCAACAGATACTCTTTGTACCCCATAGCGATTTAGGAAACCACTAACTTAAGATTTATCATTTATGACACATTTTGTGATTAATCTACGAATTTTCATGTAGACTTTTTTCCTTTTATTATATGTTACTTGGTATCCAGTTAAATGCTGTTATCCTTAATTGCTGATTGCTTAACTACACTCTTATTGTAGCTTTTTTGATACAGCGGGCTTTGCTACAAGTGTTACTTTATATACAGCCACTATTCAAAGTTCCTCCTTGACTGATTGTCTTTTCCATCTAGATTACAGGAGTTAATTTAAAGGC